ATTATTCCCATTTTACAAATAATGAAACAGTAGAAAAGTAACGTTCTCACTGTCATACAACGAGTGACAGAGTTAGGATTCGAATCCAAGTCTGTTTGACTTGACAGTTGGAGCCACAGATCTTATTTTAAAACAGTGAGTTTATTAAAAACAGAACAAAACTAGAGACCCCTAACAAAATTTTTCAGATACCTGTGTACTTTCACATACTGTTACATTTAATCCTAGTAAATCCATAAAGTTGATAGCATTACCACTTTACAGATGAAGAAGTTGTGGCTCAGAGATTTAAGTAACTTCTTCGAGGCTATCATTATATGTTCATGAGTTTAAGCTCAACCCCTGGTCCTCTCTGAATACAGTTGTTTACATACCACATTGCCTAATTATTCAAAATAACATTGTCTCATTTTAATCTTTTGTATTTGTTAAAACTTTTTACAAGGGATGCACTGAAGTTTGACCTGTCCTCTCTATTTTTTTGAGAGAGAATCTCTTACTCTGTCACTTGGGTTGGAGTGCAGTGGTGTGATCTTAGCTCACTGCAACCTCTGCCTCCCAGGTTCAAGCAATTCTCGTGCCTCAGGCTCTGGAGTCGCTGGGACTACAGGTGCTCACTGCCACGCTTGGCTAATTTTTTGTATTTTAGTAGAGACACATTTCACCATGTTGCTCAAACTCCTAAGCTCAGGCAATCAGCTCGCCTTGGCCTCTCAAAATGCTGGGATTACAGGTGTGAGCCACCATGCCTGGCCACCTGCACTTACTAAAAAAATCAAAAAACAAAAAACAAATTTATGTTGTATGGAGCAATGTTGAAAAAAAAAAAACAGTAAGAAGTCAGTTTAAAGTTATATTCATAAAATTGAATAGCATGCAGGCCCTAAATATTATTTTATAGAAGCAAATTTATAGACATGAAAAGATTCATGGTATAGCATACTGAAAAGACTCAGGTCACAAGACAATATGGATAGTATTATTTCATTTTCATTTTAAAAGCACATATATGCAAATCTGTAATAATACAGAGAAAAATCGTAAGTTCTGAGTGGTGGGATCAGGCACAACTCTTCCTTTGTTTCCTTTTTGGGTTATTTGTATACTCTAATATTTCTGTAACAAATGGGCATTTTTATAACAAAGAAAACAAATGCTAACTCCATCCTTCACCCCATCATGGTTACACACAGATTATTGCTTATTGTTAAAAGCCTAACATCTTTAACTTGCCCACACTGTTATCTTCAATTTGTCCTAAACTCAGCTTTTTGCCTTAGCTTTATCACCAGCCTTCAATCATTTTACATGTCCAAAGTGACTTAGGTTCTCTTTTTTGACACCTTGCATCTTCCATTAGAATACCTGTCCCTTTTGTTACCCTGCCAAAATCCTTACCATCCTCTAAGGCACAAACTTATATTACCTTTTTCATGAGGTTTTTCCTCATCTGCCCTCCTGGAAAAAAAAGAATTCCTTTCGTTTGCATTCCCATCATGTTTTGTGTTCAATTATGTATGTAAATTATCCCACATACAAGAATTATTTGTGTATATTACTTTCTCTCTCCTAGTAGACTGTAAGTGAAAAGACTATTCACCTTTGTCTAATTTATAAAGAAGTTTTATATCCACTAATCTTTTATCCTTACAAGATTGAGCATGAAAAAAAATTCAATATTTATTTAATAGCAATTGTGTGTCAGACAATGTGTCTGAGGCTTTACATATCAAATCAACCCTCACAGCAGTCCTATGGATCCATTTTACATATCAAAACATAAGCTCATAAAAGTTCAGTGACTTATTAGTGTCATAGCTGGTTTAAAAAAAAAACATAGCTGTGATTTTTTTTAACTCTTTTTTTTTTAAACTCTGTTCTTTGTATTGCAAAACCATGATCATGTGTCTACCAATGACACATGGAAGATATGAACACATATAAAAGCTTACATGAAACACATCAAAATTGCTGAGGGTTTTCTGGCACACTAGAACTGCTATATTCAGATAAAACTTGGGAGTCCACTAAAGTCAGAGGATTTTTTAGGTAAGAGGAACCTTATAGATAATCTAATTCATCAAACTCCTATATGTTATAGAGGAGAAACATGATACTCAGAGAAATAAATTTGCTTTTGCACACATTTAGCAGCTGAGCCAGGATTAAAAATTCAACTGGAGGCAGTGTAGCAAAGTGGTTAAGATTACTGCTTTTGGGGTCAGAGGCCTTCATTCAACTCATAGCTGTGTTTAATGACTACGTGTAACCTAGGACAATTTACAAAGCTTATCTTTGCCTCAGTTTTCTCATCTGCAAAAGTTTTCACATCTTACCCATTGTGCTGCAAGAAGTAATTTAACACTAAGTAGCAGAGAATAAACACAGAAAAAAAAATATTAGATATTCTCTCATATCCTGTCTCACAGTTCAGTCTTCTTTGTAGGACAGCACATTGCCTTTTATGAATGAGTGTGTAGTGGACACTATATTTCAGGGTCAAGTTGAGTAACAATAATTAAGCATTAACGTACAAATACTTCTCAGTTGATAAATAACATTTTTAAAAGGAATGTACAAATACTTCTAGTGGATAAATAACATTTTAAAAAGGAAACATTCATTCAATAAATGTTTATTTTTATTTTTTAGAGACAGGGTCTTGCTCTGTTGTGCAGGCCAGAGTGCAGTAGTGTGATCATAGTTTAATGTAATCTATGTCTATTTATGAAAGGAAGTATTGAACACAGTAAAAAGAGCCAAAATTTAGAGGATCTGGATTCAAATCCTCATGCCTTAGCTGCCCGAAGTGTTGGGATTACAGTCATAAGCCACAGCTCCTGACTTACTTATTGAGCTTCTACTACATGCCAGGCACAGTGTTAGATGCTGGGTATGAGATGATGAACAAAACAGACATAATCCCTACCTTCATAAGAACTGAAATTTGATAGCAAAATATCCCTGAGATCTGCCTACAGGATCTGACTATGGGTCAATGCAATATAATCAAATACACCTTAGTATTTGAGGCTAGCAATACCAATTTAGTTGTAAAACAGGATATTCTTTAAAATTAAGTTCTATGTCATGTCTAGTATTGGTCATTTCAACTAAATTTTTGTAAATTCTCTGACAATTAGGCTACTTCTGTTTCTCTATATAGAATAGGGTATTGGATGGGCAGGTTTAATTAAGCATATTCCCTGAAACTATGTGATAATCCCTATCTGTCTGAGGGTTACATGAGTGAAACAGAACAGTTTTGCTAATAATAAATAATTCCTTATAAATGATTACAAAGTTCAATTTTATAAATTTGTGCTCATTTGCTCATTCTCTCTCCCTAAACACACACACACACACACACATAGATACATGTATACAAATGTGTGTGTGTGTGAAAACCTGCCTAAAAAGATAGCTGATACTCTGGACTCAGAGTCACCAATATGCTGATGATCTCTAAATCTTCTGTATTTGCCCCAAGTGTTATGTCAATGTACAGTATAGGCATGTGTTTGAATTAGGATAATAAAACTGGCCAAGAATAAAGGCAGTAAAGAAACTGCATTATTCACGTGTTAAAATTACCTCACGGTGATGAACACATCCAGTAAGTCCCTTTATCCTCAAGTTTTGCTATCCACTTGGTTTGTAAATGTGACATACTATCTATCCAAATTCACCTGCAAGTGAAAATGATACTGTTTTGTTTACTCATAAAGGTATAGAGCACAGTAAAGAGACAAAATTTAGAGTCAGGTAGTCTAGATTCAAGTTTTAATTGTGCTATTTAATTATATAATTTGTGGAAAATCACCAACCTCTTTGAGTCTGTTTGCAAAATAGAAATAACACAATTTTTGTGATTTTCTTTATTAAGCATTAAATAAAAGAATAAATGTAAAGTGCCTGGCAGATAATATCTACTTGGGGTAAGTATTAATGATTGGCTACATTCAAGAGCAATTAATAGAGATAAAGCACTGCCTCTAAAAACTAGTTGCTGTGCAGAAATAACACATAATCGCCCTGAAAAAATTTTTCATACTTTAAACTGGAGAAATAAAGCAAGCACACAAGATTCAACAAAATGTCAAAATTGGAATCAATGGGGGAGATTATAAGTTTGTTGAATTATTAACCAATAAGGTTAGAAAATCAATGTGCTGTCCTAAAAATGGTTGCATTATTTTCAAAAGGTAAGAAGGCACTGGCCTGATGTAACAGGGGCCTTGAATTAAACATATTGCATTTTTCTTTATGAGTATGCTCTCATAAAGAAAATGTTTTTATGGGTATGGGGAGCATACCCATAAAGAAAAATGCAATAGTACCTACAACTCTCTTGGGAACTGACTGTTTAAAAAAAAAATTAATTAGCTGCCTTTTATGGGGGTTGGTGGGAGGTAATTATTTAAATACAAGGTGGCAGGTGAAAACTACTTACCTAAGAAACTGCATTACTTAAGAGAAGTCGCCAAGGTTCACTACATCACAACTTTCAAATCTTAAATGATCACCTTTCCTCCCTTTGTCGGAAGCAATTTCTCTTTACAACTATTCTGGCTACCTCAGACCTCCATCTAAAATTCTCCCGAATCCTTCATTATTGACAAAGCCTGGAGCAGAGCGCAAGCATTTCTTTCTGAAAGCACACCTACTTACTGATCACTGCCATCCAAAAATGCATCTAATGTCCAAGCATGAAATGACAAGCTTGTTTTCTCGTGTCTCAGCCAGGAAACAAAGACCGTTCTTCTCATCCAATTCAAACGGCAGGGGGAACCTTCAATTAATTTTAAAGCAGGAAGGAACCTCCCCATCTCACTTCCAAATGTTTGTAAAAGATGTCTTCTTCAGCCAACCGCCTGCCTCCCAGGCATGGCAACCCAGAACTACGGAAACAGTACTGAGGAATCGAGAGTGGCCAAACGCTGCCAATGGGAGATAGGACACTCGTTGATCATTGGCAGAGAAACTCGGCATCACGCCGAGTCACCATATACGGTGTCTTCGGCCTCGCCCAGGGACACTTGGGGACTCGAGGTCGAGTTCCAAGTCGGAGACAGGTTTTGCGAGTGGAGAAGACGGTAAGCCGGGATCCCAAGGCCTTCTCCAGCAGCGCAGGGTGTCAAACGCCACGGGGTTGGATGGGGACTCCTTCTGGTTCAACCCTCGCCCACTCACTTCTGGGGCTGGCCAAAATGCTGCAGATAGCCCTGGCCAGCCATTAATATCAAGCCCAGGAGGCAACCCAGTAAAATCACTTACCAGTCTTTTACCTCCAGTGGTGATCTAGCGGGAGCCTGACCCGTTGGCCGGACTCAAGCCCGGCAACAGCTATGACACCCTGGCGACGGCTCCAGAGCGTCACTGACAACCACCCGGAAATGATACTGTCGCTTCCGGGGCTGCCTAGCGCGCGGCGGGAAATTATTTCCCAGAGCCCGGATTAGTGAAGCAGTTGAGTGCTGCAGCGGCAGTCGTCGCTCTTGCAGTCGCCACCCGAGGAAGGCATCCCACACACTTCGGCCGGGAAGGTAAAGGGGCTCAGCTTGGAAGACACAGTGTATTCTGTCTCTGTTGGGATGTTTCTTCCCCGATCTGTACCCTCTAAGTATCTTCCCTCCGGCTCTGAGGCTGGGAAGGTTGCGGCTGAGGTGAGCGGCGGAGGTGTCTGGCTCTTGCCACCTGCAGCTGTTTTTTCCCGCCCTCCCGACTTCGCCCTTGGCGCTGGAATTGGTGTGATGGGCTGCTGCTGCAGACCCCGCGACGCTCGCCTCGGCGGGGACCGGCACCGAGTGCCTCTCTGCAGTACTGGGCTGAGCCGCTTCCCCCGCTGCTGCTTGCGCAGCTCTGCAGCTAGGTCCGCCGCTTGGAAGGCACTAGGCCCCCCGCGTCTCTCGTTTCCATAGAACCGATGGGGACGCCTCACCCAGATCCCAGAGTTTTGGCTGCTTTCCATAACTTTGCGTCTTCGAAGGTGGCTGGGTTCCCCCCGGCCCACCGTCCTGTGACGAAGAAAATTGTGTTATTCTTTCCTCTCTAGTAGAATTTTTTTTTGACATACCCAAACGGCAGTCATCCTATCTCTGACTGCTATAGGCCTTTAAACACATATACACATACACGTTTCCCTGGCGGGAGGGTCTGTGTTTCTGGGGATTCTATTTCAGCTGCTTGAAGGCTGGAAACAAGACTAAGTGGTTATTTTAAGATTTCTTCCACTTCCAAAGCCTCAGATTAAATATTGACAAAAAAAAAAAAAAATTGATCTGTCTTGGGTACTTAATACCATTATTTGACTCAGGTGTTACATGGAGCTTGATTTTGGACTGGGCAGCCTTTTTGACGAATTACTCTTATTAAAGAGAAAAATGTGTTGTTGAGACGTTGGGAATGAACAACTGAACTGAATTTACAATTTATATGTGACAGACAATTCACCTGTTGGACTTTTTGGTTTATGTTATTCCGTTGTGCCTCAATTCGTGGAAGTATCTGTGGATGTGCAAGATGTTCTCATTGTTGGAAAGTTTGATTACGTATATTGCAGGTGTTCAATATGTAAGTTGCTAGTTTGAAGTGGATTTATATATAAGGGAGTAAATTTCATTCATTCATTCATTCATTCATTTTGTTTTGTTAGTTTGTTTTGAGACAGAGCCTTGCTCTGTCGCCCGGGCTGGAGTGCAGTGATGCGATTTTGGCTCACTGCAACCTCCGCCTCCCAGGTTTAAGCAATTCTCCTATCTCAGCCTCCCAAGTAGCTGAGATTACAGGTGCGCACCACCGCGCGCAGCTGTTTGTATTTTAAATAGAGATGTTGTTTCATCATGTTGACCAGGCTGGTCTCGAACTCCTGACCTCAAGTGATTTCGCCCTACTCGACCTCCCAAAGTGCTGAGATTACAGGTGTAAGCCACCAGGCCCGGCCAAATTTCATTATTTCTAAGTTTACTCAGTATTCTTAATTTAAAGGAACTAGGATGTTCAAATACTTGAATGTTTAAGTCAATTTTGTTGTAAAGACAGCTAACCTTCAGTACTGCAAATAAACCCCTATTCTGTTTTCTATATTCATATTTTATTACGCATTATTGATTAAATTGAATTATATGACGTAACATTTTCTTCCCTAAAGCATATAGCACGAGAAAGTCATTGAAATCACCGTCAAATGTGGTTACTCTTCATAATCAAAATTCAGAACTCTTAATATTTCATAATACGCATCCAAAATTTACAATGTTGTTCAAAAACTTTGCTTTTTGGGAAACCAATAGTATAGCTTTATTAATTAGTATTTTCCTTATTATATGTATCTTGATTATATTATTCTAAAGTAGGGTTTTCACCATTTAAAGAAAACTTTTTTTTTTTTTTTTGAGACGGAGTTTCGCTCTTGTTGCCCAGGCTGGAGTGCATATGGCACCATCTCGGCTCACCAACCACAACCTTTGCCTCCCAGGTTTAAGTGATTTTCCTGCCTCAGCCAACCGTGTAGCTAGGATTACAGGCATGCACCACCACGCCTGGCTAATTTTGTATTTTTAGTAAAGACTGGGTTTCTCCATGTTGGTCAGGTGGTCTCCCGACCCCAGGTGATCCACCTACCTCAGCCTCCCAAAGTGCTGGGATTACAGGTCTGAGCCACTGCGCCCAGCCTAAAGAAAACATTTTTATTTTATTTTACTTTAATTTATTTATTTATTGAGAAAGGAGTCTTGCTCTGTCACCCAGGCTGGAGTGTAGTGGCCTGATCTCAGCTCACTGCAGCCTCTGCCTCCTGGTTCAAGCGATTCTCCTGCCTCAGCCTCTGGAGTAGCTGGGACTGCAGGTGCCCGCCTGTTTTTTGTATTTTTAGTAGACTGGATTTCACCATATTGGCCACGCTGTCTCAAACTCCTGACCTTGTGATCCACCTCGGCCTCCCAGTGTGCTGGGGTTACAGATATGAACCACCACACCCAGCCAGGAAAACATTTTTAAAAAGTAAAATAAAAAATCATGTGTAGACATTGAATAATAAACCCTAAACAAAACAAATCCCTCAAAAATATAACTAAAATGAAACATCATCTGTTACTCTTGTAATTGACTCTTTGAATATACTAAAGGAAAATACATCTGTGTAAGGTACTATGTACTCTTTCTCACCTTATAAGGGAATGCTACTGCTTAAAAGTAAAATAACCCTGAAACTTTTAAGTTCATTTAATTCATACTTTCTTTCAAAATTACTTTAAAATTTAAAATACAGCGTTTGGTTAGTTTTGAGGAGGAAGAAAGCCCTTATGAATTACTCTAATGACTAAGTGATACGAAATCACTTTTGAGAGGAAAATAATGAAAACTTTGTTTCTCATTAAGAAAAAAAAGCACTCTTTTTTTTTTTTTTTTAATTTTTTATTGGATTATAGGTTTTGGGGTACATGAGCAGAGCATGCAAAAAAGCACTCTTTAGTTGCTTCTAGAAATGCATTGAAATTTTAGACACTGTTATTTTACTGAAAATAATTTATAATTATGTTTAAATTTTTTCAGTGATACTGCTGTTCTAAATGTCTTCCCACCTTTGTACTGTTCCTTTCATGTAATGTATCTTTCTCTTGTGTTAGCTGAAAGTAGGTTGCTTTATGAAATTAAAATGTGGTTAAAAGTATTAGACTAACTTCTGAAATTTAATTCAGCTTGGTATTGTAGAAAAGGCATATAATTTTTGCACAAAGACTTATCTTTGCATCTTGTTTTCACCATTTACTAGCTGTGTAATCTCGAAGTAGTTTCTTAATCACTCAGATTTCCCAGTATCCTCATCTGCATAAGAACAATAAATAGCACTTATGTTGTGAAGAAGGAAATGAGTTAACATAATATGAAGTGTATAAGCCACAGTAGGTCCCCAGTAAAAGTTAAATACTGCTTGTTCAATCTTAGACGTATGCTCTTCCTCCTAAGAAAACCAGATTTCCTAGGATATCAAAGCACATTTGACTTCTATCTCCTATGGCTAATCAATATCTACTGTCCACCTATTTTTTTTATTCTTGAACCTTGCTTCTCTTGACCAACTTGCTTCCTTAAGGACTCCTTTATCCCTAAACTAACATCTGCCTAGCCTGTGCCTTGTACAGTATTGGATAGATTGGACATCTCCATATGTCCCTGCAAGCCTCTTATTTCTTTCTCACCATATTCACTTTGCTGTTTGTTCCTGTTTCTTCCTTCTAGTGCTAAATTTGTCATCAAAGGGACTTATTACTGCTTCTTTCCCAAATAATGCCATGGAAGTAAGAGCATCCCTCAAGTCTCATCACTGGATACTTCCGTCAAATAATGTTGGCGTGTGTGTGTGTGTGTGCGCGCGCGTGTGCGCGTGTGCATGTGTGTGCACATGCGTGCGTTTGTATCTCTCTCTCTCTCTCTCTCATGTCTTTGAAGAATGGGGTAAGAAACAGACCCTGTGTCTTAAAAAACAAAATGTCCCAAGGCCAGCTGAATAAAATTAAACCAAGGGCCTAATTTGGCTCCTAGGCTTGAATGGCCCAGAATTTCTAAACTCCACTAGTAGTTAAAAGCCAAATAGTATTTTACGCACACAGTGTAAGTACTGTGGCATGTGTCTGCCTTTTGCACTATTGGTTCAAACAGAGATCCAACACTTGGACCCCTTTTCAGTTTTAACAATTATTTGTTTACTTTCCCAGTTAGAGTTTTGGATAAGAGAAATCATGAAAATTTTTTAGACTCATTAATTCAGGGCAAAAATCTTGACTGCATTCAGTGCTTGGTATATGTATTTCGGATAAGGGGAGTTTCAAATAATTTTTCTGAGTTTGTTGTAGAAGTAGGTTTAAAATCAAAAGGATTCACCAAAATAACAAACATTGAGAAACCAGTAGTTATCATATGACCTTACACCATGAAGAGTATTAAGTGGCATGGAAAAATGATTACAATATAATATGACATAAAACTGAAGATATGAGAAAACCTAATATCCAAATCTTGTCAAATATGTTTTTCACACTCAGATAAAACCTGGAAGTCAATCCCCCTCCCCAGTGGTGACAATGGTATTACAGACTGAAGGAATTAGAAATGATTTTAATCTTAATACTTTGTTGAATTTTTCAAATTTTCTATAATAAGTGCATGTTAAAACTGAAAGATAAATCTGTAAAGATTGTTTTTGGAGAAAAACTTTAGTTCTTAAATATATAAATCAAAGTTTTTTATTAAACCCTTATTTGTTTTAACTAATGATACCATACAATGTATTTCTAAGATTCCTTATCGTTTCAGAGTTCATGTATAGGTAGGGCTGGTTATAAAAGAAACCAGCCCTGTGTAATGCAGAGTAGGGAAGGGTTTATCCTTATTTTCCTTACAAAAGCCTCTTTATGCATCCCTGCCTCTCATTTTTGTAGCACATTCCCCTTTTTTCCAAGGATTGTACCCTGCTCTTTCATCTTGCCTCTCAAACCAGACCTTTGTATTCACATCTGTATTCCTCCTTTTCTCTGAGCTCAATTTTCAACATGTTCTTCAAACATGTTCTAGCTATATGTTACATTATAAAGAATTCAAAGGACCTAAAAAGCTAATTTATAATAAATACTGTTCTTAATTAAGATGAAGAGTTCTATAGGTTTTATTTGCATTTTAGACTTGCACCAACTGCAAAGGAATTTCAGGCATCAAGATAGGCCCATGTGGAAGATATTTTGGGAAAGTTCATACCACAGAGACAGTTGCTTGCTATGCATAACTAACTCTGTTCACAGTCATTATCTTCTTAGTTGTATTTTATTGTTCAAGGTAAGTAACTAATTTTTGTTAATTAGTATAAGATTTTAAAAATAATTACTACAGAAGGACATTTTCTCATAACCAAGAATGTCATATAATTTTAATTTTTTTTGATAGTAAAGATAAAACTTTTAACTGTCGAAAGTCATTCTCTCTTTTTTGCTTTTTTTTCTTCCTCCTTTTCTTGGTGTTATAGTATCTTCTATATGAATGCTCCAAGGAACACCACCCCCCTCCCCCGCCATTCCATGAGTTCTAGAGAGATCTATAATTTTTCTGGACATAACCTCTGGTACAATTTACTTTCTTACTTGTGCTGAAAGACTTCTAGAAGTTAGCTCTTGATCCTCCATACTCCAGACATATCACCTACACTAAACTTGACTGTACTTTAAAGGATTTTTAATTGTCTGGGTTATTGATATGTATTAAATCAATTATTGTGCTCTTTTTGGCTTCATTGACATATCAGGTTATTGTATTGTTAATCCTACAGGGTCAGAAAGAACCATCAAATCATGAATTTTGTAAATAAATCTTATCAGTATATCTATACATGTTTATGTCTATACCTATATATATAGCTGTGTAACTGCATGAATTAGATCTGTGATCCAGGTCATTCACTTGTCATATTGTGTGCTGTTAAAAAAAAAAAGCATTGCTAAATGTATTATAAACTCTGTTATTTGAAGTAGATAATTTTTTATTGTAGAAAACTGTTTTAAAACTGTGCTAGTTGTTTTGGGCCATCACTGGGATTTGTGATGAAAGTTTAGCTAGTAGTTCAGTTTTTCTGATAAACTTGTGACTAGAATATTCTGTATTCTGATTTGTTTTTAAACATATCCATATTTTATGGATAATGTCTGACTCAGGGCATTCTATTTTTTCACCTTGATTTCCTACTTCCCTTTCCATTGTATGTTTAAATTCAGTTTCGTATTTAATCATTTTCAAAGGAAAAAAATTCCTTTAAAAGGGGTTCCTGATTTCTGCTATGATACAGTTAGTCCTATTTTCATTTTACTATGTGCTCTTGCTTTGACAGAAAATTCTGTTAAATACACAAAGTGGGTTATTTGCATCATATTTATTTTATTATAAAGACAATATGGTTTAAGGTGAAAACTTTGCTTTACATACTAACTCCAGTAAATCCTAATAATTTATACATGAAACCAAAATATCTTAAAAGGTTGCCTTGTTAATAATATTCAAATTTTAAAATAGCTATTATTAACATGATCTGGAAACAGCAACATAGTGTAATATGTTTCCTTTATTTTTGTATGACATTTAATTCGAGGAAGCAAAATAATACAATTTAAAGGATAAGCTTTAAATAAAGCTGTTCTTGGTAACAGTATTACAACGGTTTTTATTTTTCATTACTTTTTGTGTATTTCGATTATTTAACATTTGTTTTTATATGTCAATTTTTAGAATACTCGGAGGATTTTAGATTTTTTTAAAAACCACTTAAACTTCTTTGGCAATATTCCTGAAATAGCCATTAAATAGCTCTTGAAGCTCTAAAATACATTAAAAATATACAAATAGTAGGAAAAGCATATGTATTTAAAACACTTATATTCCTGTGATAACAGAGGTTTTTGATAAAAACCAGTTTGATAAAAACAAGTATTGATTGAATACCGAGATGATATTCACAGATATATTGAATTTTACTTGTCCGGTATTTCTGAAAAGACCTATTGTTTTCTTTTTCTTTCTTTCTTTTTTTTAATTCTTTTTTTTTTTTTTTTTTTTTTAGACAGAATCTTGCTCTGTTGCACAGGCTGGAGTGCATGGAGTGCAATGGTGTGGTCTCAGCTCACTGTAACCTCTGCTTCCCAGGTTCAATCTATTCTCCTGCCTCAGCCTCCCAAATAACTGGGATTACAGGTGCCCACCACCACACCTGGCTGATTTTTGTATTTTTAGTAGAGATGAGATTTCACCATGTTGGCCAAGCTGTTCTCAAACTCCTGACCTTGCGATCTGCCCACTTTGGTCTCCCAAAGTTCTGGGATTTACAGGCATGAGCCACCGTGCCCTGCCAAGACCTATCATTTTCTAAAGGAAATTTGCTTAAAGGATTTAAAAAATTATTCCCTAGAAGCAATGAAAGCATTTCTCCCTAGCTATGGACATATATTTTATAATCCAAATGTAGCCTTTCTGTGTGTTTTCATATGTGTTCTGCATCAGACTAAATTATTATTTCTAGCAACAGAGCATATTTTTTCATAGTTTTTATGTATTGCTTATCTATATTGTTAATGAATATTAACATTTTAACAGTCAAGAGCTACATTATTTAACCCATGTGAATGGTTTTTAAAAATTGGTTGATTAATACAGTAAAGGGTTCCTTATACAGGAAGCTTGATTAATTTGCTGATGATAGTGTTTCATATGTATGATTAATTTTTCATAATAATCCCTATTAGGTACACTTAAAAATTTTATACTGACTACACCAAATCCTTGTAACTTTTTTTAAAAAGCCTTTATTTCATTGAAGAGCCTTATGTTTAAGGCACTTTCTTATGTTCTGCATCTGAGTTTTAGAGGGTTAAAATACATTCTATCTCTGTTTCTTTTGCAGCCAGCTGGGAAATGTGAAAGTTAGATAAATTGAGGTCGAATTATCAGCTTTTTTATTGAATAAAAATTGTTTTGAAGGAAGTGATTGTTTTTGTTTTGTTGTTTTTCCTGCATCATCCTTCTGCAAGAAGGAGATGGTTTTGATATGGAACCACAGTGTGCTTCTTAGTACATAACTTCTGAATTGACTTATCCACACAGGCAGTGCAGGACTGCTACTGGCAGCTCCTTAGGATGTGTCAGAAAGCATTTATATGGACCGTCTTTGCAAATATGCAGATAGGCTGAGCAAAGCATATCCATTTAGTTGTCTCAAGGAGCTTCTCCAACGAAATGGGGAGTGATGAAGCATAGAGAAAAACCAAGAGTGCAGTTACCCTAGCTGGACTTCCTTGTTTTTGAAACTCTAAGCAAGGAAATAAAAGTTCACTTTTGAGTAATGCTTTAAATTGTTTATAGTGAGACTTTCTTTCCATTTTAACACTTAAATTTCAGCCTTTAAATAAATGTGTGTGTTTCTGTGTGTGTGTGTGTATGTATGTTTTTAAAAATAGAATTTCTATAAAGAACATTTCTCACTTCATCAGTTGTGTGCTATTAGTCCTGGGTTCAAACTGTTACAGTTATTGTAGATTACTTGTGGTTGTGTTGAAAGAAGTCATTGTTTCTTTCGTTGTTGAAAACAGCCACTGTTGTTACTCTAGCTATGGCATTACTTAACTATTAATCCACAGCTATGATGACAAAATTGTTAGAGAAATGAAAAACTGCCCTGATTTCCCTAGTTCCTGCTTTCCTTGTCTGTGAAAAAAATGAGATTTTCTCTAAGACGCTCTCTAGTTTTCCAGTTCAACCTCGTGTAAACAAACAAAATCGTATTCTGATGAGAAATTCAGTGAGTTACGTACTCCGTAAACGCAAAGTACTTTTTGTGAACTATGTTAAAACAAAGATTAAGTTCCCTATGAAATAAACGTAGTTTTGAAATAAAAAACATGATTTTCAGTCTGCCTTGTAAATGGTGAAATTAACATATATATAGCAAAGTTAAGAAATGTGGGTTGCAAATAGGATCCAGGATCATTATGTGTACCTACTTTACTAAATTATTGGATATAAATATTGTGGGACCCTGAGTTCCATTAACTTCTCCAGATATTCTTTAATATCTGTTCACATGTAAAATCTGATTGTTTCCTTGTCTATAAGTTTCAAAAGCTCTTAGCAAACAACAATACTTTTGAAATGAAGCTGGTATAACATTATGCCAATAATTGTATAACATTCTGTCGTTTTCTGAAAAAGTATATTTATTCATCAGTGTGTTTTACTGTCAAATAATGTACTAATTCAGACTTTAAATGTTCAAATCAGAGGAAAAAAAAACCCTCACTTTTTTAAGGCCACATTTTGAGAAGATAACTTTTAAAACTAATTTCTTTTGTATATAAGTAATTTTACTGTTGTTTTTAACAGTTATGCCTAACATTTTTAACTCATTATGTGTTTAATAGTTTAGTACTCATAATTAAGAAAAAATAACAATGTTAACCCTGGGAATAATATCTTTAATGTATGTTATCTTCTGTATTTTTATATTTGTTAGATGGAAGATGGTGCCCCAAAGCATATCATCCAAATGACAGGATTTAAGATGGAAGAAAAGGAAGCTCTAGTCAAATTACTTTTAAAACTAGATTGCACTTTTATTAAGAGTGAGGTAAGAAACTTATCAAAATGTTCAAGGTATACTTGAAAAATGACTAGAATTAAGATACTGGTCTGCCTTCTTGATACTGCAAGAATAAAAAGAATGTGTTATAAAGGAAATCTTACTTTTGTAATATTTCTTGATATGAATTTTTCCCTCCAGAAATACAAAAATTGTACACATCTTATAGCCGAACGCCTATGTAAGAGTGAAAAATTTTTAGCAGCTTGTGCAGCAGGTAAGTTAACTGTCTTCCCCCAACTTTTGAAAACAATCTTCGTGTTAAAGAAAAAGTATTTTAGTCTCTGGAGAGATAGCATATTTATATATCAAACTAAATGTGTTTTTCTGATATTTTTTGAAAATATTTAGCATATTTTTTGGCTTTTCTGAGTAAAATTTTGTAACACATGAATAATATATTAAATAGGCAGAAATATTTGTCTCACCAAGGATTTAGTGTATTTTATTTAAGACAAAAAGAAAAATATATTAACGGAAAGATTGGCACAAACTGTCAAAACTTAAGCTTTTGTTAAAGTCTCAGCTGTTTTCAGTCAAGTTTTCTTTGATCTGTCATTGGATATATTCAGTGCTTTTATTCTCTCTCTGCTGCTTCTCCTCCTATTCATACTATGAAGCAATGGTTATGCTATTTTATTTTTGTAAGATATTAAATACTATAGACCCAAATTAAGACTTAGTCTTCTCCTCTATCGTTTTGTCACCATTGCCAGTTTTATAAATTTCTCTACTCTGATTGATCTGACATATCATTAGTCTACTGATTGCGAAAAAAAAAAAAGTGTATGTAACTTGGGTGAATTTATTCTCTATTAATTTAACTTACAAGAAAAACACTTGCATTTATGAAAATATACATTGTACATGGTGTTCAAAGAGATCATTGATGACCAGATAAAGAAACTGTTGGCCGGCTGCGGAGACTCATGCCTGTAATCCCAGAATTTTGGGAGGCCAAGACAAAAGGATCACTTGAGTCTGGAAGTTTAAAAACAGCCTGGGCAACACAGTGAGACCTCATCTCGAAAGAAAGACAGAGAGGGAGGGAGGCAGAGAGGAAGGAAGGAAAAGGAAGAAAGGAAAGAAGGAAGGAAGAAAGAAAAAAGATAGAGGAAAAGAAAATATAAATCTAACCCAAAATAGTGAATAATGATAGTAATAATCAGGTAATACCACATTTTATTTTGGATTTTAAAGCTTTGGATTTGTGTTTAGGATTATAATTTAGAATTATATTTAAATTAAACTGTAATAATAACTAGGTTATAACTATGGAATTATATTTAGAAGTATAATTATTTGTCATGGAAAAGATTACATACAATGTTCAGTGATGTTGTAAGCCTCTCACTATCAAAATTTCACCAAATGCATAGTTCAAAGATAATGTTGGCAGTATAGCTTAAGAGTCTTATCTTGAAGACTCTTATCTTGAAAAAAGTTGACTTATTTTATATTTGATCTTTATTGAATCATTTATCAGAACCAGAATTCCTTTGTGACTGACAGCTCATTTGGTTTCTAGGAAAGTGGATACTAACTAAGGACTATATAATTCATAGTGCCAAAAATGGCAGATGGCTTGATGAAACAACTTACGAATGGGGATATAAAATTGAAAAAGATTCTGATTATTCACCACAAATGCAATCTGCACCTAAAAGATGGCGTGAAGAACTGAAACGCACTGGCGCTCCAGGAGCCTTCCACAGATGGAAAGTTGTCCTCCTTGTTAGAACTGATAAGCGAAGTGATTCTCTTATAAGGTAGGATGTGATTACATAAAAGCTAACATAATTAATGAGAAAATCATTTTGATTTGCATGAGTACTTTCTATATGTTTTTGCAATTATTAATTTAGCCCAAATGAGCCATGGTGATTTACTCCAGTCTCCTGGGTAAGCCATTATGCTCATTTAAAGTTATGTGTCTTTAATAGAGCAAAATGTACTTTACAATATTGTTTTAGATTATTCTGGATATCTCTTTTTGACTTTCCATATTATCCCTTTTGGCCAACCCAAGCAAAACAAAAAGGAAAACTAATGTAAGATTAGTTTTGAAGCACTTTTAGATTTTTGCTGTTACTACAAAAGCATCATTCTGGGTTTATGGAGTGGTGTCTTCATTATTCATACTGTTTTCACCATAATTTTATTTCATTTTGTCCTTGGTATATTTTTAAAAGTTTTTTTTATTGGGTAAACTATTCTAAGACTGCTGTTACTTTTCTTGTGGCAGGGGAATCTTGTGATCTTGCTAAATTCACTAGTTCTAGTATCTTCGTTAAAATTTTTAGTATGCAGCCATGTCTTTGGAAATAAAGACAGTTTCTCTTTCTTCACAATTTTATGCCTCATTTCTTTTTTTGGCTTATTGCAATTGCTAGTACATCTAGTAAATGCTAAACAGAAATGATTCCGCATCTTTGCCTTGTTAGCAATCATGGGGGAAAAGAAATCTTTCACCATTAAATATGACATTAAGTTTAGGTCATTTATCAGGTTTAGGATACAAAAATCATTAACAAAATATTTGCAAATAGAATTGGCAAAATATTAATGGATAATACACCATGATGTACAGCTTATCTTGAGAATACAAGTTGGGTTTAACATTTAAGAATCAATCAAATATAATTCACCATGTTAACCAAGATACTAGAACTGGTGAATTTAGCAGGATCAAAAGACGACAGATCACTGTATAAAATTTAATTGCATTCTCAAATACTACTGAAGAACAATTGGAAATTGAAATACTCATTTTTGTTTTGTTAATTTTCTCTATTGTTTGTTATTTCATTGATTTCTGTTCTCGGTTTTATTATTTCCAGCCTTCTTACTTTAGGCTTAATTTGCTTTGGTTGATTTTTGTTTGTTTTTGAGGTAAAAACTTGGATCACTGATTATGGACCTTTCTATTTTTCTCTTAATTGCCCCCCAAGCATTGCTTTATCTACATCCCACAAATTCGTAATGTGTTTGCTTTTTTATTAAGTTCAGAGTATTTTCCACTTTCTTTTCATTTCTTCTTTGACCCATTGATTATTTACAAGTTTATTTTTCCCAATTACTGATAGAATAACTTAATTTTCTAACTGTAATTTTGAATTAGTCATTACTTCTGTTAGTTCTATCAGCTTTTGCTTTATTTATATTTAAGTCCTGTTATCAGTTGCATATGTATTTTGTTAATCTTCCTGATTTTGTATTATTTTTTGTATCATCTCAAATACTTGTTATTGTATACTTTGACCAACATTTCCCATTCTCTTCCACCCCCCACAGCCTTTGGTAGCCACCATTATGCACTCTGCACCTATGTGTTCGACTTTATTAGATTCTATAAATCTAATTTATTTTAGACTTTCACACGTAAGTTAAACATAGTGTTTCTCTTTCTGCACTGGGAGTCTTCATTTAGCATAATGTACTCCAGTTCATGTTGCAAGTGATGTAATTTCTGTCTTTCTGAAGTCTATATAGTATTCTTTTGTGAATATATGTTATATTTTTCTGTTAATTGATTTACACTTTAGGTTGATTATATAACTTGACTGTCATGAATAACACTGCAGTAAAAATGGGAGTGCAGATAGCTCTTTAACATACTGGGTTCAAATCCTTTCAGTATATACCCAGATGTAGGCTTGCTGGATTATATGATAACTCTGTTTTTACTTTTTTGAGAAACATTTATGCTGTTTTCCATAATGGCTGTATTAATTTACATTCCCAACAAATAGGGAATACCAGGGCTCCCTTTTGTCCATGTCTTCACTAATAATCATCTTTTTGATAATAACCATTCTGACAGAAGTGAGAGTTAATTTTCACTTTCTTAATGATTAGTGGTATTGAGTATTTAAAAATTTATGTTTGCCATTTATCTTTTTATGAGAAGAGTCTATTGAGATCCTTTGCCCATTTTTAATCAAGTTCTCTTGCTATTGAGTTGAGTTCCTTGTATTTGGATATTAACCCTTTTTTACATATATGGCTTGAAAATATTATCTCCCATTCCACAGGTTGGCTCTTCACTCTGTTAAATGTTTCCTTTGCTGTGCAGAAGCTTTTTAGTTTAATGTAACCTCCCTTTTCTATTTTCATTTTTGTTGGCTGTGCTTTTGGAGCCAAATCCAAAAAATCATTGCCCAGAACAGTGTCCTGTAGTTTATTCCCTGTATTTTCTTCTAACAGTTTTGCAGTTTCAAGTATTGTTTACAGTTCTTCAGTGTAAATTATATTTTGTCTCATAAGAGTGTAGCTAGTCCTGCTCTCTTGGTTTTCATTTACATGGTGTATCCTTTTCCATCCCTTCATTTTCACTCTGTGTGTGTCCTTAGAGGTGAGGTTAGTCTCCTGTAGGCAGCTCATAGTTGGCTCTTGTTTCTTTTTTTCCAATCTATTCGACCACTATATGTCTTTGGGGAATTTAATACATTTATGTTTGGAGTAATTATCGGTGGGTAAGGACTTATAACTACCATTTTGTAGCTTGTTTCCTGGTTGATTTGTATACGCTGTGTTTCTTCCTATGTTGCTGTCTTCCATTGTGTTTGATGGTTTTCTGCAGTGGTTTGCTTTGATTCCCTTTTACTTACGTTTTGTATATGTGGTAGACATGTTCCTTTGTGGGTATCATGTACTTACGTAAAACATTTTATTCTTATAACAGACAATGTCAAGCTGATAACTTTGTTCATGTGTAACAACTCTGCACATTTACTCTCCCATTTTATGTTGTGATGTCAAAATTTATATTATTTTAAAATTTGTATCCCCTGATAATTGTTATGGTTGTTTTTGATAGATACGTCTATTAATCACTGCACTAGAGATACAGTTGCTTCACACACCACCATTTTAGTCCAGAGTATTCTGAATATGATTCTGCCTTACTTAGATTGTTAAGTTTTGCACTTTGGTATTTTTTATATTATTGATTAGTGGCCTTTTGATATAGTTTAAAGAATTTTCTTAATAATTCCTATCAGGCCAGACTGATAGGGATTATTAACTACTTTAGCTTTTGTTTGGGAAATTTTTAATTTCTCCCTTATTTCCAAAGAACAGTTTAGCCAGGTAAGCTGTATTGGCAGTGTTTTTTTCCTTTATCACTTTGAATATATCATAGAACTCTTTCCTGACTTGGAGTGTTTCTGCTGACAAATCTGCTGGTTCAGACTCTTACATGCGAATGTTTCTTATCTCTTGCTGCTTTCAGAATTTTTTATTTGTCTTTGATTTTTGATAATTTGATTATTATGGACCTTGGTAGACTCCTTTTTAGGTTAAATTTGATTAGAAACCACTATGCTTCTTGTCCCTGGATGTGGCCATTTTTTCCCAGATTTCAGAAGTTTTCAGCCATTATTTTCTTAAATATACCTTCTGGTCCCTTTCCTTTCTGTTCTGCTGAACTAATTTAATGCAGTTATTAGGTCTCATTTGTCATTCTTTTGGTTCGTCATTCTTTTGCTTCTCTGACTGGAAAATTTCAAATGTTGTGTCTTTGAACTCACTGATTCTTTCCTCTGTTTGAATAAGCCTACTGTTGTTGAAGCCTTCTATTGCTTTTTTCACTTTAGTGATTATATTCTTCATCTCCAGAATTAATATTTTATTTTTGTTTGTTTTTATTTCTTTGTCAGACTTTGCTTTTTTCATGTATTGTTTTCCATATTTCATTTAATTTTTTAATCTGTATAATCTTGTATTTTATTGAACTTTTTGTTTGGCTGGCTTTTTTTTTGTTGTTTTCTTGAGATGGAACCTTGCTCTGTCACCCAGGCTGGAGTGCAGTGGCACAGTCTTGACTCACTGCAACCTCCTCCTCCTGGGTTCAAGCAAATCCCCTGCCTCAGCCTTCCAAGTAGCTGGGATTACAGGCACCTGCCACTATGCCTAGCTAATTTTTTTGTATTTTTTGTGAAGATGGGGTTTTGCCATGTTGGTCAAGTTGGTCTTGAACTGCTGACCTCAAGTGATCTACCTGCCTCAACGTCCCAAAGTGTTGGTATTACAGGCATAAGCTACCATGCCGGGCCTGAACTTCTTTAAAGGAATTATTCTTTGTCTATTATTCCATAGATCTGTAGCTCTCCATTATTTTAGGGTTCATTGTTAGAGCTTTATTAATTTCTTTGGAGGTGTCCTGATTCTTTGTAATGTTTGAGTTTTTGCATTGGTCTCTTCATCTTTGGAGACAGCCACCTCTTCCAACTTTTACAGGTATTCCTTGACAGGGATAGAATTTCACTGCTTGTGATTCTTTATGGGCTGGTAACGTCTCCAAACAGGTAGAGCTTGCTTTCTGGTACTCTAGATGACTGGGCTGCTATCTTTGCTTTGATGTTGGAGAGGGGATTATGCTGGCTGGGCTCTGCTGTTAGATGGGACCACTGGCTGAGCTCTGCAATCAGGCAGAGCTGTTCTCAGGCACTGCAATTGCCTCCAGTTGTGCCAGACTTATGGAGTATTCCCTGGCTAGATCTTACCAATATTTGAGATCTGCAGTTTAACAAGGTTATGATTTTGACCCCAAGATTAAGTAGAATTGCTGCTTAAGATAGATGTGACCTAACTGCTGTGTGCTTAGTACGAATTATAACTGCAGTTTGCCTCGCAGTTTTGGTGGGACTTTGAGGTAGGCTTTGATGCTGAGCTGAGCACACTGTTCAAAGTTCTGAGTGTGGCAGAACTAGCTGCTGCACTTCGCCTAAATATACTGTGGTTGGCATCTCCCTCCCTAAATGGAGTC